AGACATTGGTCGACTCGTAGGGTAACCTAATCAGGAATTCTAGGCGTCACCAAGTATTAGCTACGTATGCCTGAAGTGTACTTTTCAGGAAAACATGTTTGGAACGTGACACGAAGATTTACAAGATTTATTGGACAATTTGAACTCACCCAAAATCTACCCGCGACCCACACTTACAATACTACGGTACAGTACAGTTCTTTTAGCGGTAACGGGTAAACTTAGTCCATTTTGCAGTCTATTTGAGGATGCTGGCATGCAGATACCAAGTCCAAAATTATCAAAGGTCACTCTGTTTTTATTATCGCACAAACACTATAATCGGAATCTTAAAACTATTGAGCAATTAGTAAAAGAAACAAGACGGAACGTTATAAGCAGTAACGGTTAAAACGTGTAAGCAACTGAAAAAGGGGAGTAACTAAAAAGATGGTGAGCAAAGTGAGCAAAAAACTGAATCTCCTTATCTATGGTAACCAGTGCGTAGTACAATTATGCATTAAGGGCTTTTGTTAAAGAAATGGGCTAGAGAAACTTTTTAAGTTCCACCTTGAGACCTAACATTAATAAAAATGTCGGAAAGCGTGATTTCTAATTAATTATTTGTTAAAATAGCAATTAACACTGCGGCGGACCAAACGCTTTAGAGCATTGCCGCAGTGTCCAACTGGCACATTTAAGTTTCTGAGGCGCTAAGATTTGAAGACATATTAATGTTAATCAATAAAATTTATCGTATACTCGGACCGTTTACACCGCCATGGCGTGAAGCGCGCACTATAATCCGACATTTAAGGATCGATATCGTAAACAGTGCGAGAAATTGAAAACAAAGGTATTCATAAAGTGTGGGCCACCCAACTTAATAGAGATGTGAATAGTTTTAATTTGTTCGACCTTCTCTTTGCCACTAAATTTAGCATATGAAAAAAAACTAACGATAACATCACATTCCTTTTAAAGCATTCACAAATAGAAGGTACTCTGTGGAGAGAGGAGTATATAAACAGTTGGGCACCGAATCGTTACATATTTTTCTTTTCTACGGTCACTCTGCTAAATTATTACCAAAAATGAGGCGATTTAATAATTTAGTGACTTTGTTCCGACAACGATATCTGCTTTTTTTTTTGGGAAGTTTTATAATGAAAATACTTTGTTCGGTAGAGAATGTCCGGCAAATAAAAGTGAAGCTTTCCAACTGAAGTCACATCCCAATCTATTTCTTTTGGTGGTAGTGCTTAGCGCTCCGAGCAACTATGACCAGAACGTAATAAGGAAGACTTGGCTTAACAGTACAACACAGCCCCTTCAGTTGCCTTACTACCCCGAGATCTTATTTATATTCCACCCTACGGTCCCAGTGGACATTTGCAATTGGAGTCGGTTCCACAGCAAGCGAATCGGCTAAGACAGTATTTGAAATGGCAGAAAGACCTGCTATCAAAAGAGCCCACAAAGAGTCAGCGTCGTATCAAAGTAAAACACATTTTTTCTATTGGTACAGGGGAAGTTAGGCAGCTATTTGCAAACAAAACTGCTAAAGGAACAAGAGCAACACGGCGACCTTCTGCTACTGCAAGAGCACCAAGACACATACTCCAATCTTACTGTGAAGTTGCTAGAGACCCTGGCTTCCCTAAGGAGCAACTATACATTCTCCTATGTCCTTAAAGTGGACGACGATACATACGTCAAGCTGGACAGTCTTGTTAATGAACTCGTCTCCTATGATCGAAAGTTACTTCGTAAAAGCATTGAGTATGATCAAAATCCTTTACCTCAACTTTACTGGGGCTACTTTAATGGTCGGGCAACAATAAAAAAAAAAGAGGCCATTGGAAGGAGTCAAATTATTATCTAAGCCAAAATTATCTTCCTTATGCTTTGGGCGGTGGATACGTTTTATCTCAACAGCTTTGTGAATATATACTTAACAGTTCTCACTTGCTCACGCCGTATGTATCCGAGGATGTCTCAATCGGAACCTGGGTGGCTCCACTACGTCACGTCTATCGCTGGCACGATCCCAGATTCGACACCGGGTATATGCCACGAAAGTGTCAACCCTATCATATTGTTTTGCACAAACGGAATCTGAAAATGATGACCGACATCTACGGCGACAAACTTTGCAGTAATACTGGCTCGAGCTCTTTACCCGAATACTACTATGATTGGACGAAAACGTCGGACAAGTGTTGCGACAGCTTAGTAGTATAGACACGCCATGAAAAGTTTTGAACCAAAAATAGAAATGAATGCTTTGCCTACCTGTGTTTAATAAACCATTCTATGCGGTCATCCGTTTCGATAAGGCTAGCTACGACTACATCCTTAGGAGCAGCAATATAAAAACCGATTTTCCTCGACTATGCAACCAAGAGAATAGTCATTTACGGTGTATTCCTCATAGCCACGTAAAGTCAAACTGTCTGTGCAAATCTCTTCGCTGGTGTTCATTTTGTATTCAATAACGCACAGAACCGGACGAAGGGATTTAAAAAGAATCGCTTCGTCTTTTGCGGTAGCCAAGCACCACTAACTGGCTGGCTGTCAGAGGGGCAAGTCCACATATATAAAAAGTAGTTTGAAATGTGGAGACTACAATATTTGAATAAAAATTTAATTTTTAAAATACACTTAGAATGTTATATTACTCACTCGGATCCACAATATAGCCTGGTAGACTGCTAGATGATGCTTCGATAGGATTTCTCTTGCGAATTTGGCAAATTCGTATGGTGATCCACCCAACCAATTAGCAGAGTATGATCGTTTGTCCATCGCAGGTGGCAACGAAAGTTTCTAAACGCTCCTCTGCCAGAGATCTCCCATTTCATTAATCCAAGCGAGCATTTTTACCGTTTAAATCATAGACCCGAACACCTATGTGACTCGCCCAGGCAACAAAACTACCCTGCCAGCAAATCGCCAGAACATTGCCTTCAACTGAGCACAGTTCAATTGGCTTAAATTTTTTAAGTAGGTTGCGCTCGTACAAGATCAGCTTGTCGTCACCTAAAAAAATATCGCGTTTGTCGATAGTTAAGTAAAACATAAGCTGCTTTATTGACCTACCCACAATAAATCGTCTACTGCGAGCACTAGGATCGGGCTCCAGCGCCACTGCTTTTTATAGATTTTCCGCAACTTAAATTTTGATTGTTCTCGCTATTAAACAAACCAGTAATGTTGACCTGAAATATACAAATTTATCCTGATCTATAGGCCCTTCAGTTTAGAGAATTACTTTTCCGTCGTCAGAGCATGTGGCCACATACTCGCCTTTGGGGTCCACATCAACTTGATTAACTGCCACCTGATGAGTTTGACGTCCGCTGTTACCCAAATTTGAATCCACAGAATTTCCTTGATGATCCAATAAATATACGTGCCCTCGAAAAGTGCCAAATATAAGAAACTACATACATACGTATAAACATACATATTTATGTGCACGCAATTCTTTTAAAATTGTATCCTCACCTTTAAATGTACAGCAGTGCACGTTATTACATCAGTATTAAGTATGTTTTTCAAGTCGTTAGCAAGGCGTTGGTACTTAAACTTCGGCTCCACTTCTTCATCTTCCATGTTTTCGATGCCAGAATCCTGAATGTAATCAAACTGCAAATTCTGATAATTTGAGATAAAAATACAGCTTACGCAGATAATTGGCATAATTTCAGCCATTTCTACTCCAAATTATTTATTTTTATTAGGTTTAAGATTTTTACATTGAAGTCAACAATGTCAAACTTCATGGTTTTTCACAAATTTATACTAAACACTTTCCACTCAGATTTTCCTCTACCTTAATGGTCAGTACACACTAGAGTTTGTTTTGAATACCACTTCTTGAACGGCATTCCTTGTTGGCGTATGTTTTTAGGCTGTTCACAGACGCATCGCATCTGCATCAATGTTAATATTGCATATTACAATAATCCAGATTAATATGTAAAGAAGGTATTTGAATCTGAAAGTTTCTTCGGGGTAATTGTTTACAAGTGCGGTCCACGCTAAAAACAGCTTAAAAACAAAGTAAACGATGCAAATGATGTGTTTTTATACCCTTGCAGAGCAAAAGGGTATTATAATTTCAGTCAGAAGTTTGCAACGCAGTGAAGGAGACACCTCAGACCCCATAAAGTAGGGGAGAAGTGGGGTTGTGGACATGGGTCGGTTGTGGGCAGCCCTACGTATATTTTCACAAAATGAAGATTGACTTTTGTTGGTAATGTCATTCGCAAGCAATTACCCTATGTATGATTTATGCCAAATATCAAAGTAAACGAACGCGTTTGCTTTTTGAAATTAACGAATTGGTTTTTTTGTGCTTGGAAAAGGTGGTGAAACTTTATTCAAAGATTTTCAATAGTGTATCAATTAAAGTGAATTGATTAAAAGGTAAGTGTAATGCATTTTTATTTAGTCAAAGCATTATACTAAATGGAACAATATCGATTTGAACCAAAAAATTTATGCAAACACATTTTTAATTACTTCTTAAAATGTCTGCGAAAGTTGGTTGTGGGCACCAAAATTGGGTGGGTTGTGGGCACCCGTTTTTTTTTGCCAAATTTTTTTATTACCTACAATTTCTTGTAAAATTGTTTTCAAAATTTGTTTGGAACCCTCTAGAACATTCTTGTAGAAATCTTAGGCTCTTGGAAAGGATCCTCCCCGCTGAGAGGGATTATCACTCAATTGTGACATCTGCGATCGAGCTTTTCATCCGAAATGTGTGGACATGCGGGGCAGTCATTATACATGTCAAAATTTTGTTTCCGACGATGAATAACGCCTATCCAGTCTTTGAAATAAATAAATTGTCATTTTTGTTGATATTGGTTGCGGTTTTTTTTTTTCCATATTATTCCATTTGCAGCATTTTTTCCCAGGGTGCCCACAACCCCCCAAAAAAAAATTTTAGCTGAAAATTACGATTTTGCAAAAGTCCATATGAAATTTTTCGCATGACAAAATCAAGTATGTTTCTTCATAATTAGTTAGCTTAGGTCTCTAGCTTTACACAGATACCCATATGTCCAAATAATATGCACTAGTTCGGTAATTATAAGCCAAAAACAAAACTATGCCCACAACCCCCACATCTCCCCTATATATGTTCTTGATCAGCATCACGAGCAGAATTGCAATACGTATGTACGTCTGTCCATCTGTCCGTCTGTCCGTTTCCGCGCAAACTAGTCTCTCAGATTTAAAGCTATCTTACTGAAACTTTCCCAAAAATGTGTAGTTATTGCACGCAGTATATAAGTCGGAAACGGGCCGGATCGCCCGACTATATAGGATAGCTCCCATATGAGAGAATGAAATAAAAAATTCTCACGCCGTTGTTTTTGATGAGATCGACTTAAATTCTTCAAGATGGCGTTTTCTAACTGTTATTGAATTTCGGAATATATTTGAACAAAATCGGATAACTCTATCATATAGCTGCCATAGGAGAGATCGAAAAATATATTTAGAATTAATGGAAATAAATTGATAGCATCGTTGTTTTTTATCCCACGAGCATGATTTTTTGAGTATCACGTTTCTTAACTAGCCTTGATTTATAAAAAAAATTTCATAAAAATCGGACAACTATATCATATAGCTGCCATAGGAAAGATCGAAAAATCTATATAGAATTAACGGAAATAAAATGATAACATCGTTATTTCTCATCAGAAAATCATGATTTTTTGGAATATAGAGTTTTCCAACGACTCTTGAGTAGTAAATAAAATTTCATCAAAATCGGGCAACTATATCATATAGCGGCCATATGAACAATAGTCAAAAATATGGAAAACTAATCGAAAAGTCGTCGTAGCTTCGATGTTCTTTAGCCTTTGTGTATTCTGTTCGAAATATTTGATGACTGCAAGGGTATATAAGCTTCGGCTTGCCGAAGCTAGCTTCCTTTCTTGTTTTTCTAACATTTCGAAATCCGTTGGCGGAAAGTGAAAATTTTGCACCGTTTTGTTGTCGTGTTGAAGTGAGACGTAAAATATGTTGAAGGCGAAGAGGTATTACGGCAGGTTCTCACCTTGTGGCGAAAAAAATCGATATTTTTTTTTTTTACTTTTCGAATAGATATATGTTTTAAGAATGGGCTCAACAAATTTCAGATCAAAATTTGAAAAACTACAAGAGTAACAGGCATTTACATGGAGCACTTGTCGAGCACCGGCCATTTGAAGCCAAAACTTTAAACGCGTATATCTCGGAACCACGTTTTCTGACCTTGCGGAAGTAATTAAAGGCGTTGGGGTTAACCAATCGTCATCAAATTTTTTTTTAATGTTCCTAATTGTTTCCTTTAACTAATGAACTAGGATTATCCAAAAATATTGAAAACTGTTTATTTGAGAAAATAATTAGTGAGAAAAAAAGGGTGAAAATCGTAATTTTTTTCTTAAGGGGTTATATACCTTTTCCAGGCTCAAAAAATCGAAAAAATGTTATAATTTTTTTTAATGTACATACTTTCAACAATTTTTCTGCAAAATTTTTTCGAGATCGGGGCACTAGAACCTAAGATACAGCCGTTCATAGCGCACGGTGTACATGACTACCTAATGTCCACCTAAAACTTTAAGCGCGATTATCTCGGAATCGCATTTTGAGAAAAGGTCATTGCGGTGAGCACGATATCTCGGTAACCACTACATCGATCGATTTGAAATTTTGGGGGATTGTTTGTAGATACAATAGCTAGTTCGTGAACGAAGGAATTTTATTTTCGACAAATTTTTCTATTTTTTTGGGGCGAAAAACTAAATTATTAGACCTCGAAAAATCGTTTTTTTTTTTTTTTTTTAAATAATCACTGTAACTGTAAAAAAATTTTTTTCGTAAAATCCTTCGTTCACGAACTAGGTAACACTATATACTAACGTAGTTTTTCTTCTTCTTTTTTTAATTTGAGCCGTTTCCTTGTTTTCATGCTCACCGTGAGCCACTACTGAAAAAGGACTTCTGCGGCAAGGACTGTAACTTCCAAAATTATGAAAATTTTCACTCGAAATTTTATACGAATTTACTTAAGGGCACGTACGTTGATAAAATTTGTATTGTATTCAATAAAACAATGGTAACATGCTAAAAAAAAAATTAAAAAACCCTGTATTTCTCTGGAGAAAAAGGTATATAACCCCTTAAGCAAATGACTTGCAATTTTCATTTTTTTTCTGATCCTGGTTCAT